CACTTCGTGCTCTTCGAGTTCCCAGAACTCCATTCCCGGGCCACATTTTGAATGCCCGGAGCCAACTGTAGGCCACTTCGTGCTCTTCGAGTTCCCAGAACTCCATTCCCGGGCCACATTTTGAATGCCCGGAGCCAACTGTAGGCCACTTCGTGCTCTTCGAGTTCCCAGAACTCCATTCCCGGGCCACATTTTGAATGCCCGTAGCCAACTGTAGGCAACTTCGTGCTCTTCGACTTCCCAGAACTCCCTTTCCTGGGCCACATTTTGAATGCTGAGGCAGGCTGATGCTGCGGTCGAGGCAGGCTGGGGCTGAGGCAGGCTGAGGCTGAGGCCGAGGCTGAAGGCAGACTGAGGCTGAGGCTGAAGCAGACTGAGGCTGAGGCTGAGGCAGGCTGAGGCTGAGGCTGAGGCAGGCTGATGCTGAGGCAGGCTGAGGCTGAGGCTGAGGCTGATGCAGGCTGAGGCTGAGGCAGGCTGAGGCTGAGGCCGAGGCTGAAGGCAGACTGAGGCTGAGGCTGAAGCAGGCTGAGGCTGAGGCTGAGGCAGGCTGAGGCTGAGGCAGGCTGAGGCTGAGGCTGAGGCAGGCTGAGGCTGAGGCTGTGACTGCGACTGCCGTTGCCGCTGCGACTGTCATCGCGAATGCGACTACGACTGCGAGAACAGCAGAATTCTACAACTGGATTTTCATCTGAATCTTAAGGGGAATGCTTTCAGATATGCTTCTACACATCGCTGTTAGGTTGCTTTGCCGGGATAATTATATAAGAACGTGACGTACTCAACCCTTTCTATACATGCGGCGATTATACTCAGGACCACTCAGTGCTGAGTGGCATTCTGAAAGGGCCCGCAGTGCGCAAGAAGAGCACCCAGCAGTGATTTCAGAAGAGCGCAGCAAGAAGAGGAACGGCAAATCTACAAATGAAAACACAGGGGCGTTGACAGAAACGCGACCAACAAGTGTTCAAAACCTCCGCTGGGCTTCTCAGGAGCCCACGGATCGCAAGCCACCCAGGGTGCGGCGAGGTCCCGACGTGGTCCGCGTACGACGCACTTCCGCTGAGCCTCCCAGGGGCCCACGAAAGTGGCGACAGTTGCGCAGATCGCAAGCCCCCCAGGGTGCGGCGAGGTCCCGACGTGGCCCGCGTATGACGTACCGCCGCTGGGCCTCCCAGGAGCCCCCGAAAGTGGCGACAGTTGCGCAGATCGCAAGCCCCCCAGGGGGCGGCGAGGTCCCGAGGCGGTCCGCGTATGACGTACCGCCGCTGAGCGGGCTGGGCTTCCCAGGAGCCCACGAACGTGGCGACAGTTGCGCAGATCGCAAGCCCCCCATGGGGCGGCGAGGTCCCGAGGTGGTTCGCGTATGATGTACTTCCGCTGGGCCTCCCAGGAGCCCACGAACGTGGCGACAGTTGCGCAGATCGCAAGCACCCCAAGGGGCGGCGAGGTCCCGAGGCGGTCATCGTGGGACCCACCTCCGCTGTGCCTCCGAGGAGCCCCCGAACGTGGCGACAGTTGCGCAGATCGCAAGCCCCCCAGGGTGCGGCGAGGTCCCGACGTGGCCCGCGTACGACGTACCGCCGCTGAGCCTCCCAGGAGCCCCCGAAAGTGGCGACAGTTGCGCAGATCGCAAGCCCCCCAGGGGGCGGCGAGGTCCCGACGTGGCCCGCGTATGACGTACCTCCGCTGGGCCTCCCAGGAGCCCCCGAAAGTGGCGACAGTTGCGCAGATCGCAAGCCCCCCAGGGGGCGGCGAGGTCCCGAGGCGGTCCGCGTATGACGTACCGCCGCTGAGCGGGCTGGGCTTCCCAGGAGCCCACGAAATTGGCGACAGTTGCGCAGATCGCAAGCCCCCCATGGGGCGGCGAGGTCCCGAGGTGGTTCGCGTATGATGTACTTCCGCTGGGCTTCCCAGGAGCCCACGAACGTGGCGACAGTTGCGCAGATCGCAAGCACCCCCGGGGGCGGCGAGGTCCCGAGGCGGTCATCGTGGGACCCACCTCCGCTGTGCCTCCCAGGAGCCCCCGAGCGTGGCGACAGTTGCGCAGATCGCAAGCCCCCCAGGGTGCGGCGAGGTCCCGACGTGGCCCGCGTACGACGTACCTCCGCTGGGCCTCCCAGGAACCCCCGAACGTGGCGACAGTTGCGCAGATCGCAAGCCCCCCAGGGGGCGGCGAGGTCCCGAGGTGGTTCGCGTATGATGTACTTCCGCTGGGCCTCCCAGGAGCCCACGAACGTGGCGACAGTTGCGCAGATCGCAAGCCCCCCAGGGGGCGGCGAGGTCCCAAGGTGGTCCGCGTGGGACCCACCTCCGCTGGGCTTCCCAGGAGCCCCCGAAAGTGGCGACAGTTGCGCAGATCGCAAGCCCACCAGGGAACGGCGAGGTCCCGAGGTGGCGCGCGTTGGACGTACCTCCGCTGGGCCCCCCCAGGAGCCCACGAAAGTGGCGACAGTTGCGCAGATCGCAAGCCCCCCAGGGTGCGGCGAGGTCCCGACGTGGCCCGCGTATGACGTACCGCCGCTGGGCCTCCCAGGAACCCTACGAACGTGGCGGCAGTTGCGCAGATCGCAAGCCACCCAGGGTGCGGCGAGGTCCCGAGGTGGTCCGCGTATGACGTACCTCCGCCTGGGCCTCCCAGGAGCACCCGAAAGTGGCGACATTTGCGCAGATCGCAAGCCCCCCAGGGGGCGGCGATGTCCCGAGGTGGTCCGCGTGGGACCCACCTCCGCTGAGCCTCCCAGGAGCCCACGAAAGTGGCGACAGTTGCGCAGATCGCAGACGGCACGAGAGAAGAGGAAAAGGGAACACAGGAAACAGGAGAGAAGGAGGAGAGGAGGAGAGAAGGGGGAGGAGAGGAGGAGGAGGTGGAGACCACACTGCTTTATTCAAAACGAGTACCCAACACAGGAGGGTTGGGAACCATCATCGCCCAAAAGCCGCCTGTATGTGGACATGCCCGACCTAAGCCTATCGTGAACACGCGCGCCGCGCCCTCCTGCAGAGGCTATCTTTCGAGGTTTAGCCGAGCCCATGTCCAGTCTGCTCGACCCTTCAGGCGGCGCCGCCACCGCCGTGCAATTCGACGCCTTTGCGCACGAGAATCCGCACTTGAATCGGCCACTTGCTGCAACAAAAGCGCCGACGCGCATAAGGGACAACCGCCCCGAGTCGCCGACGCGATCGTCGCCGCCGCAATCGGGATAGGCTGCGACCGAATGTGCATCATCTTGCCATGCTCATGGCACTCGTGCAGGGCCATCGTCGCGCCGCTGCGGTTCTTGAAGCGTATAGCGCCCCGCGCGCGCTGCACTCTTGCGCGTTTGGGCTGCAGACAAAATTGGTCGGGCGGGCCCGGGGGGCGCTGGAACTTAGGGACCGCCCGCGGCTGGTTTGCAATGCCAAGCTCCGCCAATCGTGCGTGCATCAGCTCCCGTACATCACCTCCCACCACATCACCAAGGTGCCATTCGCGGTGTGCAAGCGCATGATGGTGGTCAACTCATCCTTCCGAATGGGCGCGGCCACGGCGCCGCGACCACTTGCGCACGGCCCAACCTCGATAGCCTGAGAGCCAACCAGCTGCAGCTGTTCGTTGTTAAAGACGCGAACAGCAGCCCACCGCCGTCGCGCGAACGGGGGGGCGATCGCGCGCGAGATGCTGCTCGGCGGTCGCGCCAGCCACCGCCGCGTCATCAGTGCCCCATCGCTCCTCCCAAGCACTGCACATTACCCCCCCCCCCTCCACCTCACATCGCATCGCATTGCCGTCTTTCCCGCGTAGAGAAAACGAATGCCCAAGCAAAACCCTAACAACAATAGCAATACCCGCTAAGCCAGCATGGCGGCAAGAAGCAACACGCTATCCCATGGAACAACAAAGAAGGAAGCCAGCGGCGCAGCGGATATGCACATACCATGGCAACGCTCATTGTGTTCAACGTTGGGACAGGTAAGGACGAGCGAACGTATGATTAATAGTACGTCTTACATCGTGTTTAGGTCAGTTGTGTTGGCAGTACGTGTAACGCATTTAAGTTGGTGTGCTCAATATCTAGGTCGGCTGGTTTACAAAACATGCAATGTATTTCCCAACGCGCGCACGTTCCTGGGTGAGCAACGTAGCAACAGTCAGGCGACACGAGTTTCGGCATTCAGAACAGCGCCATTCGTAGTATGGCAGTGTGGGTTAAGCAGTGCCAGACTCCTTTACAATGGTAGAAACCCTCTTAAACCAACATATATAAAGCAATGTACAGTTCAAGCTTGTTTAGGTGCTTGCTTTGCGTGCTTGTGATACATGGGCCATGGCGGATATACATATGCTAGATCAGAATCAGGTGATTACATAAACAACATGTGTGCTGTACATATTTATGAGTAGCTACAACAAGGTACACCAAAGTTCATCCACGTGGGGTGCTTGGGGCCATGACAGAGGGGAAAGGCTTGAGATGTCAGTTCGTATGGCTCCTCTTGGGCCCTCGTTGGCCGTCTTAGCGGCCCCTGGGGCCGTCTTGAGGCCCTCCTGGGGTTGTATTGAGCCGTCTTCGGGCCCTCTTGGGGCCCTCATGGGCCCTTGGGATGATCTTGGAGACCCCGTGGGCAGTATTGGAAGCTGTCAAGGCGAACAACGCGGGTAATATGTACGTTTCCCCACGGGGATTGGACGATTTTTTCACCTTGTGGCCCTCTCGACGGTCCTCTGGTAGCACTCTGGAGCCGTCTTGGGGGCCGCGTGGGCCGTCTTAAAGCCATCTTGGACCGTCGCGGGGTTACCCTGGGCCGTTTCGACGCTCTCTTGGACTGCTTCGGCGCCCTGCTTGGGCCGTTTCGGGGCTTCCTGGAGGCTCGGGAAAGCTCCCGGGGTGCGTTGACGAGTTCGTTGGCCCCCCCGCCCTTGCACTCAGGATTTGGGTCCCCGGGGGGGGGGGGAGTGGGTGGGGGACTCCCAAATGTTTCACACGTCTTTTCGGCCTTGGCATGCGGGGGTCGGCGGATCCGCGTCGGTTGAGGCCATACTGGAGGAAGTGACAGGTCAGGCTTATGATCTTGCGGACTTTCAGGTTGATTACGTGGGTCAGCCCGTAGTGGAATTGTGGATGTACACCACGGCCACCCAAACGTCAACGATAAGCTCTACGTCAGACTCGAGCACTTGGTCAGACTCGAGCACTACGTCGTCAAGCACCACCACCAGGAAGATTTGTTTCGAGAACTCGGTGCCGTACATGCTGGACGTGGCCGACAGTTCGTCCTGCATTGGCATATTCTCGGGCGAGAGTTGTTCGCCAGCCTGCGTCTCAGGATACACACTCGTCGCCCCGATCAATTGCACGGACACCAGTGATCCCGATGACACCTTCGGTGAGTTCACTTACAACCCGCTGGTTTGCGTGGCCGCTCCGTACGTTCAGTCGCTCGACTCGGCAGAGGTATTGCTCGTGGAGGCGGCCCTCGTCGGAAACGAAACTGATTTAAATTTCAGTGCCAAGGGAGAACAGGCTGCGATCATCAGCGCGTTCAGCACGGTCCTCAGCTTGAGCACCGGCCAGGTCTACCTGGTCACGGCCGCAGTCCTCAACTCTGACTCGGAGTCCAGCATCCCGTCGAGGCGCCTGTCTGCCGAGCAGGGGCTGTGGATGAAGGTCATGCTCCAGATGTACCCAGCGAATAGCGCGACAGCCCTTGTGGCCAGCCTTGCCAGTCTCAACGCAGACGGGGGCCCCTTCACAGAGGCGCTCATCGCGGCCCTAGGATCAAGGGCATAAAAAACGCCCCCACCCTGGTTTACGAGGCGCTGTGCGCTGAAACTCTTGTGGGCTGACAGGGTAAACCCTGCGTGATGTGCGGCGTCCTGGCGGCTCTCTAGGCTTTGGGGGGTCCTGGGAGGTTTACAGACCACGCACTTGTAACCCGTGGTAGGGTCGTTTTTTCATCCCTCTACAGGAGATGCTGACATCACCGTCCCGACAGGCCTCGCCAACGCCACGCTCCACGTTGGGACGCCGGCGGCTGCAACGGGGGCAGACGGCCCACATTGCGCATTTCTAATTATTCGAAGGTTCTTTGATTTTCGATGGGGCCAAGATCCTTTCATTTCTAATTCTTCTATCCTGGGCCTCTTCCTGGCCACTGGGGGGCCAGGAATAATTAGAAACGAGCACAATTAGAAATGAGCACGATTAGAACTGAACGACGTGTACATGCCCAGACACCCGATGCCTTGATGTTTTACATCCAGGGTCCCTGGAAGTCCTGACCCGCTCCCCAGGGCCAGCTTTGCATCCTGAGTCTTTTCTGTTGCCAGTCCTGGGGCCCGGCAAGGACCTTCAGAGGCCGAAAGCGGCGAAACACTTTTTTTCTTGAATGTTTCCTTGCTTTGGCGGCCTAGGTGTACCCAGGGGCTCCAGTCGCCCATGTTTTCGGCGAGGCTCCCCGGCGGACGCGGGCCTTTCCGACTCCAGCTCCCACCCCATCTCTCCGACTCCGGCTTCCCCGACCCCGGCTCCCAAAGTCCGACTCCAGTTTCTGAGCGGCCAGCCCATTCCGGCGCCCCGGCGCCCTCCCGCCGCACCCTCATAGGTGCCTCAACGCGGGCTCTTGCTCTTGCTCTTGCTCCCGGGCGGACGCGTGCAATGCCAGCCCTTGGGCTCTCCGCCCCTTTGTGCCTCCGTCGAGGACGCCAGAGCTCTCCACCGCCATCGTCCCCGTGGCTCGCTGGGAGGCCCAGACAGCATGGTCGGAGTGCAGCACGGACTGCGGCGTGGGACAGCGGACCCGACTGGTGGAGTGCTTGACCGGCATCGTGGACCTGTGCAACGCGAATGCCCCGCCCGACTACACCATGGAGACGTACGAGCCCAACACTGAGAAATGCCAGAAGTACACCAATTGCCCCTACGACTGGACCTGCCCCAGCGGCCCTGATGTGTCCACGGGCGAGGGCTGCGAAACACAGGCCTCTTTCGTGGTAGGTGCGATGGTTGTTGCGTTCTTCATCGTGACTTGCATCGTGCTCCGGTGCCTTCGGAATCTACACGCGAAGCAAGCTCGCACGAGCGAGCCCAACAAGAAAGGCTCCCGGGAAAAATCCGACGAAGGCACCAGGCAGCACCCCACCGACGACAGGAGGATTGACATCGAGTGGACGAGGGAGGACGGAGTCTTGGTCAACAGCGGGCGCCGCCGTCCGCCTGCCCCTGGGGCCCCCTCCCCTGAGCCCAGCCCCCGCCGCTCCGCTCGCAGCCGTGGCTCCCATGACATCGAGTGGACGAAGGAGGACGAGAGCACCGACGACCGCGCTCGCCGGACGCCCCGCTCACTCAGCAATGGCCGCGCTCCCCAGTCGGCCCGCCATGGCAGCCGCAGCTCCCCCCGCAGCTCCCCGAGGCTGGGCGACGTCGGCCACACCCACCGATGCGGGCCGGGCCGAGCCTTGGCCCAGGGCGGGTGCGATAGGTGCCTCCCTGGCCAGAGGCCGGGAGGCCGCGCGCACCACGGCCCAGGGTGGTGAGGGTGCAGCTCCCGGGAAGTCAAAGTCAGCATCTCGACGCTGGTGTGCAGTGGAGGGCCATGCCAAGAAGCAACCTGCTTACCTCCAGGGTGCCCTGGGCTTCTTGGGTTTCGATGGCTCTGCTGTGGAAAGCGTGACGTTCCCACACCAGCAATCAATGGACGCCCTGGGGTCTCCAGGTTGGGCTTCTTGTGGAAGGTTTCTTGGGGTCGGGCCTCCACCTGTATCCGTGGTCGGAGACGGGGCCAATCCAGCCGAGTCCCGTTTGGTCCCGCCTGTTTTCGCTTGACCCCGCGGAGTCTCAGGCTCAGTCTTGCCTCATCCGGCCCAGTGGCACCCCGAACCGGCATTGTAGCCTTCCCTTGAGGCTCGACGCGGCGCACAAACTGCAACATCGCAAGAAGTCACGACCGGAGACCCGGATCGATCTGTGAGGGCCCCGGGGCCCGAACGCAGGCGAGCACGCCCGGATTGTGAAACAGCATCGCGTGACGCCAGGATCTGAGAGGAGGAGGAGGAGGAGGAGGAGGAGGAGGAGGAGGAGGAGGAGGAGGAGGAGGAGGAGGAGGAGGCCTCCCAGGAGCTGCTCCCCGAGGTTGGTTCTGGCCAGGGCCGGTGTGTGCGGTGCAGCCCCAGACCCCCGACGTCATGATTTTTTCGTTGCGTCGACCCCTAGAGTAAAGTCGGGCCTGTCCCTCTACAGGAGGAGTATTCAAACATAGTTTAAAAAATAGTCTGGGAACAATTTTCGGATTTTTAGGGGACCATTTTTGAGTATTTTTCATTTTTCCTCCCAAATCCGCCTGTGGGGGGACACGTCTGACCTAAACCCATTCCCCTGGACCAGTTTCTCACCCCGAGCCGTTCTTTGACAGTCCTGGGGGCCGGCAAGGGCCCCGAAACTCCACGGACCCCCCCCCGTCGGTTTTTTTTTTCCTGACCCGAGGGCCTCTGGGGCGGCCCTCCTCGCCCTCCCAGGCTGAACTTCGCCGTGTAGGGCGGCCGCCCCTCCGCGCCACTCGGCACGGCGCAGGGCCGACGCGCACACCGCGCCGGGCGAGCGCTGCCGCAGTCGACGGGCTCAGCTGGGGGCCGCCAGCGCCGCCGCGCCGCAGCCGTGGCGGCGGAGGCGCGGCCCGGGCTCGAGTCGGGCGTGTCCCTCCGCAGGGGGAAGATCCAAAGAGACTCAAAAAATGGTCAGGGACGCTTTTTGTAGTATTTTTGTTGTATTTCTTTGCTTTTTTTGTTTTGGCGTCCAGAATCCGCCTGTAGGGGGACACGCCCGACCTAAACCCAGACATGATCGCGTCGTAAAAAAATCAGGGCGGCCAGTTTTTTCGCTGTGTTCGGCCTCTTGGGGCCCTCGCCGGGCCCCTGGGCCGTCAAAGAACGACTCGGGACGAGAAGCCAGTCCTGGGGAAAGGGTCGGGACTTCCGGGGACGCCGTGTTGAAAAAATCAGGACGTCGCATGTCTGGGCAGGCCCCGGGGCTCACTTCGACTCCTCTGGCACGATTCGCTTCGCTTCCGATTCCGATTTCGATTTCGATCTGACTTCGGAGTTCGGCCTGGGCTCCGGTCTCCAAGTGGAGGCCCTACTGGCCTGCCGATCCCCGCCGATTCGACTTCTCCCGGCTTGGCCGCCTGCTTCCGCCGATCCGATTCGTTTCGATCGCCGATCCCGCTTCTCGATCCGATGCTGGGCTCTCCTGGGCCCCCTCGGGCCACGGCAGAATCACGACGGATGTTTCTGATACTATTTTCGGCCTCGGGGGGCCCTCGCCTGGCCATGGCGCCGTCCAAAAGCGACGCAGGACGAGCACCGGGGGCCTCCAAACGATGCGGTGACCACACCGTGTGGAGGGGTTCGGGGTCACAGCACGGCTTTGGGACTTGGGTCGTTTTCCGAGGACGTCTCGGGCGACGGGGGCCTCCAAGGTTCCGAGACCGTGCGGTGACGGACAGTTCGGTGAGGTCGTTGGGGATCTCGAGGTCACCGCACGGTCCATCACCGCCCTCAAGAGCAGCCAGTTCCCAGGGAACTCGACATCGCTCGGACGTGTGCATTTTATCTCGGCCAGGAAGATCGAGGAGCATCGTGGACCATCCCGCGAACACAAACACGCACGACACCGGAAAACACACGGGGAATGGACGTCCGAGCGATGGCGAGGGAATGGGTCGGTCGAGCGCTCCAGTGTGTGTGTGTGTGGGGGGGGGCGGCACAGGCCGCGCGCAGACGCCAGAGGTCTTTCCCTCTCTGTCTCTCTCTCTCTCTCTCTTTCTCTCTATGTTTGTTATTGTTTTGTTTATTTCTCTCTCCTTCTCCTCCTCCTCCTCCTCCTCGTCCTCCTCCTCCTCCTCCCCCTCCTCCTCCCCCTCCTCCTCCCCCTCCTCCTCCTCCTCGTCCTCCTCCTCCTCCTCCTCGTCCTCCTCCTCCTCCTCGTCCTCCTCCGTTGCCATTTTGGCTCAAGTCGGTTGTGGTGGGTACTGGGGGGTACTCTCTTTTACACCGCATTGAGTGGGCAGCTCTCTGCTGAGGGCGATTCGGGTGTCGTGCCCGAGCGGGCACAATTTTTCCCCTTTGTCCAGACAGTCCAAGTTTTCTGCAGCCATTGTGGACGAGATTCTGAGGCCGGTGCAAGCGGCCATGGAAACTTCTATGAGAACCCAGATGGAAGCACTCAGCAACTCGCTGTCCGCCACCTTCACCGCGCAGCTTTCCTCCCTCTCAGAGAACATCAACAAGCATATCGAGAAGCAGAATGCTGGCATTGCTGCACAGACTGCCCATATCTGCGACATTCGGAAGACCATGCAGAAGCACAGTGCTGCTATTGCGCGTCTGCAGGCATGTACGGCATCAACTTCGGCTGACAGTGCTGCAAGTAATCCTGGAGGCGGTGGCACCTGGTCGAGTCGTCTATTTGGGTCCGTTCCCAAGCATCCTCGTCGTGGAGCTGATGATCCCTCGGCGCCGCCAGGACCTGGTAACAGCAGGTCATATCAGTATGACAAATGTCGGCGGTGGATCGGCACTTTCCCTCGGGCAGTTCTAGCAAGCATGAGACAGGCGCACTTCGCATCCTGGAAAGACGACATCCTGACTCCTGTCATGCTCAACAATGTCACGCCGCAGTATCACAGGATCAGCCAGTCCTACTCGCTCACCTCCTCGAGCGAGGCCATGGCTAAGGAGTTCACAGAGATCTTCAATAACGCCCAAAACCAGTGGATGGACCCTCGGGACGGCACCCTGGACATCATGAAGGCCAGAGCCGACTTGCCCAAAGATGTGAGGACCACGCAGAGAGCGTTCAGCAGGTGCTGGGACCCCATCATCGAGATCTTCAGCCAGAGCCCGAAGTTCACGGTTGGCTCGAAACCATTCGTTAACGGCTACAAGGGCACTATCCACTGGACCAATGGGGAAGACGTCTGGCCGCTCGTCACCTGCGCCGACGTTAACCATGCGTCCTTCACCTTCGACGTTGATCACGCCACCTGTGAGATCTTCGCCATTGACCAGGATCAGATAAACAAGATCATGGTGGACATCAACAACAAGGCTGCCTATATCTATGAACTACAAACACCACACTCATCGGATGACGAGTACGTGGAGTTCAGTCCAGGGGAACATGAGAGTACTACCAGCGTAGTCGGCGAATCATGTGCTACTAGCTCGGCTGCTCCCTGCACTGCATCGCCCTTGTCGTCATCACGAAGTGCTGCTTCGACTGGGGGCGCAGTAGATAGCGGCGATTTCAGTGGACCAAGCGTGTCAGCTCACCCTTTCAGTATTTCGCAACCGCTTCGCGCTTGCACCTGGGGCGCTCAGGCCCTCTTGCATTCCCTCTCCGCCCCTCTCGGGCACGGCGCCTCCCCGTTTAAAGTTCTGGCCAGCATTGCGCGGAAGATGGGCGTGATAGGTGTGCAAGAGACCCGCGATCAGGAGAGCGATCTAGAGACTCGGGCCCGCGGCTATCAGACACTCCGAGTTCTCGGGTTGGTCGAGGGGGGGGGGGGGGGGGGGGGCGAGCGCTGGAAGTGTTGTGATTCTTTTCCGCGAGGATTTGACGTCGCAGTTTGCCCAGATCGAGGGGCACGCTTGCGCTGCCGGTCGCCTCCCTCTCTTCCCTCCTCTGGGCCCCAAAAGTGATATTCAGGTCACTGGTGCCCATCCTGATCCTGAGTGGTCTGAACGAGTTACGCGGCCTATCTTGCCCACCTTCTCTCACCCCCTGCCGGCGCAACCCGAGGCCTTGAACATCGTGCTTGGGGGCGATTATATCCATGCACATCGAGAACGCAGTCGTTATCTTGAACCACCAGTCCCTAGAAAATCACCGCCGTGCCTTGCCCCTGTCTTCGGTTAGATCTTTCCTCGATGTGCCGAGGTCGAACAACCCCCATGCAAACATCGTGCTCTCCTACGTTCTCAGCTCTCTTTTGCTCGGACCGACCGCTATTACTCGGACTTCGACACGGTTGCGCTATTCGACTATCGGCTAGATTCTGGAGTACTCTGGGAGATCGCAGATAGAGCCAAACCGTCAGGCCATGTTCCCGTCTTGCTCTGCCTCCACGTTCCCCAGCCTGTTGCGCCACGCCAGTGCTCGTTTCCGACGCGTGTGTCCAAGCATCCGAGGCGTGGAGATGTTGTCGAGGATCTGATGGATAACATTGGGCTTTCGCCTGGCCCGCCCACCGATATCGAGGAGATCAAAGAAACGTATCATATCGCTGCTGGACACACCCGTCGCTTTGTGGTGGTCGCTGGTGCTCGTGCACGCGCTGGGGAATGCGCGCGTTGCCTCGAGCTCGCGCAGGCGGCCAGGACAGCATGCTGCCACCATGCCCGGCGCACGTGTCAAGGCTTTCGCCTGCTGGGCAATCTGTTTAACCCAGCGGCGATGGCTTGGCTTGATCGCGCACGCGTTCAGCTCCATCTTTGTTCCTTGGCGCGTGAACTTTGCAGAGCCAAGGAGATGGATATTTGGGTGCGTATGAGTTTTGGATCTGAAGCCGCCGACCAAGCCATCCGTCGAGTTAGGGGATTTATTGCTGCCTGGCTGCGCGGCGGCCCCGCGACCTGCTCATCGGTGCTCGGGGCCCCCAAGGTGAAGTCCACGCAGTGCCCGATGAGGCCGCCCAGCTTTTTGCATCCTATTGGGGGGAGTTCTCTGGTTCGGAGGAAGAGGCGCACATTCACGAGGAACTCGCAACGATCAGGATGATCCAGGAGGATGACGGCTCGGGCCTTCAATGCGTCACCGGGTGCCACCGCATATTTGACTGAGTCCTTTGCGAGGCGCATTCCCCGAACACCCTAGATGCCAAGCGCGACGCCGCCCATGGCCATTACTGCATGCTCGTCTCGGCATGGCTGCGCATCTGCAAGAGGACTCGCGCCGCGCTTGATGCGTGGCATCGCCAACCTCCTGCTGGGCGCCTCCTAGCTGGAGTTTCCAAGATCTGCAAGGCTGTCTTTTCACCTCGAGGAGATCTGGGTAGTGGAGGGGAGGAGATTCGCGATCCGCACGTTGTTCGTCCGCAGTCGCCTTCGTTCACCGACAACAAAGCTATCGACGCCGCCGTCGCATCCGTTCGCATCTACGTCGCCGCCGAAAAACGCCATATCATGCAGAGTGGCTTCAGCGAGAGGAGGAGGGTGAATGGCAATGTCGTTAACCTAGACGGCCACCTGGCGATCTGGGGCCCAGTTTTTAACGACGCGGGGAGCGGCATCACGTTCTTCGATTACAAGAACGCCTTCCTATGTGTTTTTTCTCCGGAGCTGGGTCATACGAGCGCTGCCGCGCATGAAGATGCCATGCCGGGTGGTCTGCGCCATAGAAGAACTCGAGGAGGATATTTGGACCTCGACTACCAGGGGGGAGGGGAAGCAAAAATATTTCGCATATCGCGGGATGAAGTAGGGGGGTCACGCCGCGGAGATCTTCGCCCGAATGCTTGATCCAGCGCGTCGGTATTTGGTGCAGCTGCCGAATAGGCACACCTTTCAAGTCGGCGCCATCTACCTCGTTGCACGTAACCCTTTTTCAAGATCTTGCCGGCTGTTTTGCACGGGAGCGTTTTATCAGGAAAGGTCACGGGACTCCCCCTC